CATATTGGGAGAAGATGGACTCTATGAACTCAGATTCAAACATACTATATTAAATATACAGTATTAAACATAGATAACGTTACAATAACACACACAAAACAGCCGTCTATCTGAGATACGTTAGGTTTCACTTAAACTAACATGGAAAATCTGACAATTGATGTTGCCTTGACTCAGAACTAGTCAGTAATAGTAGCAACATGCTAGATGTCATAGCAAGCTACTTCACAGTGCAGCCCACGTACACCAGTGTGTAAAATAACAGGCAGCGATTATTAAATGATAACTGTCGCTAGAACGTGAGAGTTTAAGTGTTCGCCAGTTATTAAGGCGACATCCTTAATATGTCAACCAACTTTATAGTGACGCTAGTTAACTTGTATGCTTAATATGTTGCATACACAGTTAGCGTTACAATTATAGCAGCGTTTCAAACAGGGAAACCAAACACAGCAGCAATTACAGACGCGACTGCTATGAAACATTTACAAACCTTATATTCCCGCTTCCTATGTAATGTATTATTCCGTAAATTTAAAGAAAAGTACGAAGATTACGTTGCTGTCATGACTTCGTTGTTTGGGTTTTCGGTCTCTCCCGCGCGTCCACTCCGCGCATGCGCCCACTCGCCACGCGCCCTACGATTGGTCCGAAGTTTCACAGTGGGCGTGAGCCTGTCGCATGGACCCGACGCAGGACGAGAGGTCTCCCTGTAACGCGCTTCCTCCGTCGCATTAGTTTCCCATGTAGTGGTGCTGTCTCCTGTTTGTCTTAACGTCTTTATCAAGTTATTTTTGTAAAAGACCAAAGTAATATGTTCTACACTCACAGCGCCGCGCTCTCTTTTCACTCTCACGAGACTTAAGTAATTTAATTAGGGTAACGTTAGTTAAAATGTCGATTTGGTCTCACACACAGTCAAAGATCAAGTCATCTTAATTTACACCATATATATCCGACATAATCCTTAAAAGAAACACACGCGAGGAACACTGCTCAGTATGTCTGCATTATTAACATGAAAACATCCTGTAGCGTACACTTATGCTAATACATGGTTTCACCAACCAGAGCACCTGCTCCTTGCCACGACTTTTCTGCAGACTATTTCAAAGTCACTTCGTCCCCCTTAGTCTCACAGCAGGGGTCCTGCCTAGATGAATACAAAATACTTCAGCGGTTCAAGTAGAATTTTATCCACGCTAACCCTAATTTCCATATGCAGATCTGTCTCTCCCAACAGTCCCTCTCGCCATCACACCAGTTCTTGCATTCTAATGCATTCTCACATCTTTACAAAATCCCCCCCCCCCCCTTCCAGCCACACGGCGTGGATGTGCTCGTTTTGTCGACTTACAGTTCTTTATTTCTGCACGTTTGACTTGTCTTGTGCGGAGATGCGCGATAGATGCGGTGTTTTGCATGCTCTAAATTTGCACGTTTCGTTACCGGGAGTCAGTGGAGACAATATAAATGGACTCGTCTGGAGATTCGTGTCTTTACGACGCACCGACTACCCGCTCTGCCTTTAACAGGAGAGTTGCGTGACTGCTCTTTCGCCAGGAAGGTAAAGGTAAATGCTTTTCTGTTTTCCGTCCCTGCGCTGCAAACCCATTCCATCCTTTCTAGGCACCGTAGTACATGGAGGGAGTGAGGTATAAACCTGTTTCATCATCCCCTCCCCTCGCTCTCAGCTCGCTGCCGAGCTTTGATGCACTGGCCCAGGTTGAACAGTGGTTTACGGACTCGGGGCTAGAAATGTGATGATTGGAAACTTGATAAACGTAATGAACTGTGTAAAGGACTACTGTACCTTCAGGTGCTCAGGTAAGTCATGCCAATAATGAGCCAGCATGCTCATAACCAGGGCCTGGCACACCTAAGTGGGATGCAACCATGCCAGTGTGTCTATAACGTCAGTGGAGCAATATCAGGACTACATCAGCCATTGCAGGTGTAGTTTCCTTTATCTGTCGATTGGAGAACAGTGTGTGATTAAAAAAGGCCCATTTGCTGAGGTCACCAGCTCGGCATCAAAAAACGTGTTCATTGTCCTGCCCTGAAATGTGTAACAATAAGCTAACACAGAGTCTTTGGCTCCAATCCCTGACCCACTAGATGGATCATGGGTTATGGTTACCCACAGAACAGCTGCTGGTAGGGGTTTACGCTGCATTTCTGCACTGTCCGCAGAATATAAAAATAAAAAAGCCCCCCCCCATGTTATTCTGAGCATTTGTGTATTATTCCAAGATGGTCCCTCTTGCTGCTAACTTTGTAGTCTCACCAATAAATTGCTCAGGGACAATTCTGCATTGCATATATCCCAGTCTGGTATGTGAACCAGGCTGTGGCAAACAAAACCAAGTTTCCTAGAGTCGCGAGGGAATTGTTGGATGTTTTTTCCGTGTTTATTGTCTTGATTGGTGAGACAAAGACATCTGTTCTATGCTGTTCTATTGGGAATGCTTGCTAACATTGATACTTGGACTCCAGTGAATGGATCTATGCTGTTTGGCACCCATGCCCTTGCAACTTGCCCTGTGAGCAGTTATAAACATTTTACTGTTGTCAGACACTTTAAACAGTTTGACTTCAAAACAGCCTTCCATAAGTTCTGGTTGGTGTAGTAACAGTGTAAAATAATGTTATCTATGACCGGTAGTTTGACCTCTGGAAATCCTGTACCATATAATTCCACCATTAACTCCCCCTTTTTTAAGGAGTGTAGTCAGAGGCATGTAATGACTTTGCATAATGAGTTACATTCTCTTTTTTTTTTTCATCGTCTGCTTTCTAAAAGATCTCTGCATTGTACAGGGGAGAGTGCTAGTCCCTTTTATCTCCAGAAAAAAAACCTTGTGGCTACAGTTTGATCAATTAAACTCCTGAAAGGGCCCCCCCCCCCTCCTTTCATTACTTTGCCTGAGAGGAATATAAATTTATCAGTCTTCCCAAGCGATATGAGGACGGAAATAAGTAGTTTGTCTATAAAAATGTCCAGGTACTTTATCAGCGTCCCAGTAGGCCCCGAGGCCCCGAGGCCCTGACACTGTTCAATGTGGCTCTCCTGTGCTGCAGTCTGATGTGCTCTCCCTCCCTCCCTCTCTCCCTGTCTACTCCATCTCTGCCTGAGGCCCGCTCCTCGCTGGGTGGGGTGCACGCTGCCGGCCCTGCACCTCTGGTGGGATTGACTGGGGCCCGGGACCCAAGTGAGGTTATCGATTTCAATCAGTGGCTTGGGAGATTGGAGCTGAATGATGCTGTAGACTTTAAACGGTGGTCAGCTGCACTGTTTGTTGTTTTGGGGGGAGGGGGGAGGGGTGCTGCTGTAGGAGGAGGTACTTTGATTTTGAAGGGAAGTCAGATAAACATACAAACAGAATTATATAGAGTGAGAGATCTTAATCTTCTAGTTTGGAGTTCCACTGTGTGTCAGTGGGTGTTTTTGGCGACAGTATAACGGCCCCAATAGACCCAAAAATTACAATAACTTCAGACAATAGATTTCATATTAACAATGATGTAGGGCTGCAACTAACTATTATTTTCATTATCAATTGATATGGTCATTATTATCTAGACAATGAATCAATTTATTGTTAGTTGACCATTCCACTTAACTTGGCTTTAGTTAGCTAGCCGAAAGGCTTTCTGCCTGAAATCCCTTACTGGAAGATGTATTAGTAGTAGTAGTAGTAGTAGTAGTAGTAGTAGTAGTAGTAGTAGTAGTAGTAGTAGTAGTAGGGAGTGGGTTCCAGTGGATGAATGGGTCATACTCAGGACAGCCAGGAGAATTCAATTTCTACACTTCGTTGACTTATTATTTTCTGTTTTTACTATAATATTTTCTGTTGCAGTTTGGTTAGGTTTAGAAAGAATAAACATAGCCTACAGTAGGCCACATTATACATACAGTATCTCATGTTTGCCTTGGTCGGGTGCAAATAGCGTTATTTTCTACGGACGCCTGGATGCTAATAGCATCTGCCTTTATTGCTTGTTTTGTAAAATGTCAGAAGATAGTAAAAAAATCACATGCCTTAGTTTTCATATTCAAATCGCTGATTTTGTGCGACCAACAGTCCAAAACCCTAAAATATTTTGTTTAATATCATTGCAGACTTACACAGAAACAGCACATGTTCACATTTGAGAAGCTGGAACCCCAGAACTTTTAAGCACTTCTGCTTAGAACGTGAATTAAACGATTAAAAGATGATCAGAATAGTAACTTGCTGATGAATTTTCTGCCGATAGACTAATCGATTAATCGACTAACAGTCGCAGCTCTAAGTAGATGCAGTCTCTCAGTGTTTAGGAGCTGTGTGTATATGTGGAAAACAACCGGCTGAACACAACAAGTTACATGATTGCTCTCCTAATCACATTCAATATAAACTAATGTATATATGAAGACCGTGACCGACCTCACGGATCAACAGTAAATGTGCGTTGCATAATCCGGGGGGGAGGAGTGGGAGCGTAAACCGTTACTGTTTTTCAATACACCATTCTTCTAATGTGAATTGGTTGCTTTTTCTTGTTGAGTAGATACCGAGAAGAGTGAGGCGACAACTTTTTTGTACCATCATCGTTCACAGGAAAGCGCTGATAAAAGTTCCTGCTTTGCTTAAAGAGGGAAGTTAGTTCACACAACGAAAGTGCCGCTGCGTTTCTGCTCTCAGAAGCATTTGCATCAAGGCCAGGAGATTAAACGTGTGGGTTGGGAACCGGAGAGAGTGTGTTGTCTTGCTCAGCCCCCCCCACCGATGCCAGAGTTCTAGCTTTCATCGGCACTGGGTGAAAGATTTCTCCTGGACGTTCCACTCTCCGTGGCTACAGGTGGGTGGTTCGCATGCGGTAGGTGGCAGCCGCTGTTGATTTCGTGCAGAAGTACAGAGGAGTTGGCTGTGGGCAAATTGCTTCACAATTGCCAATGTTCAATACGCTGAGATGCCGAATCCCACACTCGATAAACTCATTTGTGCAGCTAGATGGTATTTGTTAGAGTGTTATGGTAATATTTGAAATCGTAGGTGTTTGTGTTTTTCCAATATAGATATTCATAATGTCAGTTTTTAGACTTTGTTATGAACAACCAATGGAGGGAGATGTGTATCCAGTACGAATACTGTTGTGTATCAGTCTACAAAGGAAAATGATGTAGAACTGAACAATGAAAGAGCAGCTATTTTGATTATTGTAATTGCTTGTCTTTTTTTCCAAGTAGAAATGCCAAACAGTTACCGGTTCCAGGGACTCAAATGTGAGAATGTGATGCGTTTCTTTGTCATATATGATAATATATTCATTATCTTTGAAGATTTGGTCTGTTGGTCAAACAAAACTAGCTAGAATATGTCATGTCAGGCATGTTTCACAATTTTCTGACTTGACAAAATACAAAAAGTATTCATCAAACGTAACTAGGAGATCAACTGGAAATTAAATCATCATTAGTTGCAACCCTACTGGGACGCATCTCTTCACTGTCTGATGCTTATGCGAATACATGTTATGGATGGCTTTCATTCAGGTGTCACACTGGTTTTACTTCTTAAAACACACTTTTAACATCACAATGCAATGCAGGAATTGTTGACATAGAGTCCCATAATTACATACATTATCGAGATTCATTTGTAAAAGGTTTAGTAAATGCATTTTTCTGCAGTCATTTTCTCCTCTGTCTTTATTTTGAAAGGCTCCATGTTCGGTGCAGTCCTGCTGGTGCTTGGCTGCCTGCTGCAGAGGAATCTAGTGACCACAGAGGGGCATCGTGGGACCAACCGCCACGTCTTCTATGCCGTGCAAATGGACGGAGGCACCGGAGCCGCCAGAGCTCTGGCCAAGCAGCACAGACTGGAGTTCATACAACGGGTCAGTGCATGTTTAAAAACCCCTGTTGTTGCCTCTGCATGTGGGCCTGGATTTTTACATTTTATAAATCCAGTTACTGTTTTTTTTATTTCTTAAAGAGCTGACAAAGTGCTGACTGCTGTTTCCTATTTGAGGGATATCTGACTTTCATCAAATTACAGCAGCGTTTCTGAATATTTCATATCTGATCAAAGACGCATAGAGTAGGCCGTCCACCCACACACACACACACACACACACACACACACACATTTGAACAGACACATACATGCACTAAGATGGGCACACAGGTGCACAAATACACACACTTCTATCTAGCCAACCTTAGTTTACGCCTGTGAGAAACTCCTATATGCGGAATAGGCTATGGGATGAATGGGTCTTTACCTATTTGCCTGAATCTTAATCTGTTATGCTGAAATCTTTCCATTTGTCAGAAGACTACATGTGATTTATCCACATCAATACTTTAAAGGTTACTTTGGTTATTGAGTCTGAAAGTGTGTCAGCTCCCTCAAAAAAAAACCCTTCTTGGCTGCAATAAAAAAAAAAAAGGGCTCAAAGTGTGCCTTGGTTAGGTGGGAAAAAATTGTAAGAGGGAGTTCAAAGAGGCTGTTCAAGGGCATAACATATTTTGGAATGAACTTCTTCTGATTCTCTTTTATGAAAGATTCACAGTCAGAAAGATTTAAAAGGTAAGAGCCCTTATGAATTGACATACATTCCCGGTGTGCTCCGTTACGTTCAGGATTTTGAAAAGAGATTCTTTTATTTAACTTCTTCTTTTCAAAGAATCAACACAGATTCTTGGGATAAAATGTACTGTTTGATTAACAAACATTATGTAAGCGATCCATCATGAAACTTTCAGATGGACAAGCACCCACAGACTGTAAGTGCCCGACCTTATACAGCGAGGATGAGCTATAGAATGCGTTACAAAGCATATGGACAGTCCCATTTTAAACTAGAAGGGCAATGTGAGAGCACAGACCTCAGCCAGGGCTGTGCACCTATCTCGCAATGTTGAACAAACATTTTGTGTTTCCGCCCTGTGATCCGGATCCGCTCCAAAATTATACAGGTTGTTCCGTGGCCCATGCTACACCCTTCCACCAACTTTCATGAATATTGGGCCGGTGTTTTTTTTTTTTCAGTAATTCTGTTGACAAACCAACCAACAAACTAACCAGAAGGGCACTGGGAGAGTGCAGACCTCCACCAAGGCCATCCTGCAATGTTAATGAAAGTCATGAAATGTGATAGGCTCTTCCTTGGCCCATGCTACACCCTTCCAGCAAGTTTCATGAAAATCGGGCCAATAGTTTTTCCATAATCCTGCTGACAAACAATCCAACAAAATAACAAACCGAACCATAACTTCCTTAGGTAATAAGTAAAGCAAAATAGTGGATATCTTGAATTTTTAAGTATTATGTTGTTGATTTTCCTAGTTCTGTTTATAATTGCTTATAGATGGAGCCCTACAGGTGAGAAATCACAGAAAACCTCACATTGCATCACACTCACCTCGTCTCCAACAGACCCCATAACAGGATTTGGTGTCACTACATTTAAAGCGTATCACACTTTTGTTCTTTGGTGGCAGATGCACGTTCCTCCATCGATCTTTGCTCACGGCACGCAATTTAAAAAAACAACAACTGTGATTTGAAGTTATTGATAAGTGATAGTGGAGGTGTGTGTGTGTGTTTTGACACGATTGATAAGAGTTAGAGGGAGTGTCCACCGGCCCGGTGTTCGGCTGTGTGCACCGCTGGCCCTGGGGGACGGGGACGCAAGCTCATTTCAACCTTGGCCCTGCTGCCTCTGCTGCTGCTGCTGCTGCTGCTGCTGATGCCTGGATCATGAATAAAACATCTCTTTGACCTTTATCAGGAGTGTATTGGGCAGTCCACCCCCGTCTCTGTCTTCCTCTCTGCCTGTCTCTCTGTCATTGTCCGTCATGTATGCACACAAACACCTCTGCCTCTCTCTGCATTGTTTTCTGCTCTTTTACACACCAATGATAGTCCCATGATGCCGTGGCCACTTGTAATCACTAATACAATAGCAAAAACATTATTTCATACACATGTATTTATGTACATACGCGGTGCTTTGACACTATGATGTTTTGTTAGGTAGCAGTGTAGATTCTGCAGTAATCCATTGTCAAGGATACACAGTAAGTGTGTTAATAATATTGCGTGTTAATAATATATCCAACCCAGATCCACCATATCCTGAGAAGAGCCTCAAACAACCCCCACGTTCACGATCCCCCCCCAGGTCCAATCTGCTGACTGGTTTTCTTCTACCTGTCTGTCGCCAGAGGCTGATGCTAAATGTCACTGACACCAAATCGCCTTTGTTAAGTCGAACCTATTGTAAATATAGTAATATCAAGGAGAAGCCAGCATTTGACAATTTGCTGTGATGTGTGTATGTATACTGTGTATATATATATTTAAAACATTGAAGTGGAATGAAAAGTCTGACAAGCCCCTGCGCCAGCTTGGGAGGATTCCAGTGGTAATGCCGCATGAGCGGAATGGGAATCAAATGTCTCCATGCTGGCACTCAACATACTGTTGGTCTCTTTGATTTAGTGTTCAGCATCCAGGAAAATGTCATCTCGTCTCGCCATTGCGCAGACTTGACATATCCATTTTGCAACTCTGAAATACAGAGGAAAAACAAAGCGAAATACCCGCGATGATGTCTTCATGCCACACGGACAGATTCACCGTGATGCATTGCAGTTGCTTTTTGAAGGTGTCTCTTTGGTATCAGACGCACTAGAGCCTTTCCTGTCGCTCTTTATGATTTCTGATTGCGTCAGAGATGGAGTTTATCCGTCCATGTTTATTTTTCACTTGTCTTACACCTTGCTCATTTAGAAATGTTTAAAGATGGCTTATAGTTTGTAAACGTTCCTTTTCCCCCTTCTTTTTAATTGGAGGGAATCGGCTCGTTCCCAGAGATTTGAACATTTGAATTAATGTTCAGAAACAAACACGGCAAACACAGCGCACCCAGGAAGCTTGTAATTATTACGGCTGTGTGGCAGTACCGGCGTGGATTCAAAGATTACTGTCATTCAATGGTGAGTCTCATCTCCAGCCAAGGATGTGGTGCTTTAATGCAATCATTATGAGCCAGAGAGAAAGGGATGCTCTGACTAGGCAGGTAATGGCAGCCATTACAGGTGCAGGGTTTCTCACACAATGACAAAGAAAATAAGAACCTGATCGCTATCTAAAATAGATGATTTTCTGTTTCACTTTATGCCGGCACAGAACAACAGCGCAGCGGCTTGATATTACACGCTGATTTAAAAGAGAAGAAGCTTGCAGGCTTACTTACAATACAGCCGACCCAGTTTTAAATTACATCACATGATACTGCATTGTTTACAGGTCTTATTTCTTGCTTACTTAAGAGTTTGCAAATCCAATTAGAGGCAGATTAGGTCTATGCATTGCATTGTTTTTATTTTAGCTGAGCTCACTCCTTCAAGAATTAAGTGTGTGTGTGTGTGTGTGTGTGTGTGTGTGTGTGTGTGTGTGTGTGTGTGCGCGCGCGACCGTGCAGGGTTTTTGTCTTGAACTCTGACTTCAGGAAGTCCCTGGTCTCCAACCAATGGTGAAAGGCCTCCCAGATTCCCAATCACTCTAGTGAGGTGGAATACTGCTGGCAGATTACCATATCATTACCATATCATTAGCATACCATTACTGCGCCACAGCTTGGCTCGCTGTCTGCGGACGTGCTATCAGCTCATCAGGAGATTCAATCCCCAATCCGCTCCATGCCTCACCCCCCCCCCCCCC